CTGAATAGAAAGGGAACTTGGAAACTGATTCACTCTCTGCAGGTTAGACTAACCTGCAAAGATTGAATCAATTCAGGCCCAGGCTTTTTGAATGTCTGTGCCTAGCCTGTGAGTAAACGCACATGTTACACTTAGGTTGACCTAACTAGAGTTACGTCGATCTAACTGCCCAACTGTGCAAACATTCAGGAGGGTTTAAATCAGGGGTGGGCAATTATTTCAGGTGGAGGGCCGCTTACTGAATTTCAGCAAGCCATCAAGGGCCGCATGACAGGCAGCCAGGGGTAGATATATATTAATTTTCTAAATTTTTTAGGGGCCCCGTGGGCTGGATAGAATGGCCTGGCAGGCCACATTTTACCCTCCCCTGGTTTAAATCGTGACAAAAATGGCAAGCCTGATTTAAGTTAGTTCATTTGAATAGGCAAATTAACTAAGGTTGGGAACAAGTTAGTCTGATCCAACAAATGCCTGCACACATTCAGAACACAGCTCTAGAGTTGGGAAAACCTAGATGCTCATCCCAGCCCTGGAGCTGCATTCTTGGCACTAACAAATGATTGTATGTGATCACAGATCAGGTACAGCAGACAGTTATATGCACTAGGGGTGTGTGAAGCAGGCAGTATTCTATTCAGATTCAGCCCAATTCAGGGTACAGTGGTTCAATTCGCTGATTTGGATCACTCTCCTGATTCAATCCGGCTGAATCTGAATCTGAAGATTCGATTCTGATTCTGAGAATCAGCAATTCATCCATAGACACAGCTTTTTATGTTTTTTCTACGTACCTCAAGGTACCAGACATGGCTTGCGAATACTAAAATGTTGGGGCAGATGGAGCATCCCACAGAAGCCACTTGCTGGAGGACCCAGAAGTGGATCAGAATTACTTTTGCAGACCTCGCCATGCCCTCCCGGCTCAGCGATCAGCCACGGGGGGACCCTGGGTGCCCCCCCAGACCCAGGAGGCATCAGTCACTGAGCTAGGGCAGGTGGGTCCCCCATGCACTCTGTGGTAGACCCGGAAGTGGACCAGAAGTACTTCTGGTCCACTTCCAGGTCTGCCACCAAGCCTGCGCTCCCATGGGACACTCCCTCCACCCCACTATCTCAGCTTTCATGAGACATGCCTGGTACATCGAAGTATGTAGAAAAAACATATAAAGCTGTGTCTATTGCCAAATTGTCAAATCTTTCCGAATCAAATTGGAAGCTTCCGATTCAATTCAGAGAGATTAATGGGTCTCCTGATTCAATTCGGATTCAGAGATTCAGCCGCCAAATTGGGCCGAATCTCCTGCAAATCAAATCAGCGACCGAAGCTTCGCAGAGCCCTAATACACACTATATATGGCATGACCCTGGTACCTGCACATGGTGGAACTTCTGTTTTTTTCTAGTTTTCTTTTTAAACAACTGGTTTACATAAGCAGCAATAAAAAAAATCTTGAAAAATAATTTCATATTTATAAAAAAAGTCAATAGTATGAATTGGAAGATGTAACATAATGCTGCTTCATATTTTGCACATCTTTTACAAATTTGTTTTTTTTTCTGCCATGAAGCAGCATATTTGAAGACTGAAGGACATACATGTTTAAAACAGTTTAGCTGTGCACAGAATACCACTGAATATTCAATTCAGTTATCACTTTAAAAGTTTCCCACTCGAAAATAGCAGACCTAGACAGAAAGAATTTGGCAACCTGTACAGGAAAAACCAAACAGCTGTATAAGTAAGTTCCTTTGAAATAAAAGGGTGTGGATTTGTCCATTGTATTGTATGGCACAAATTGATGAGGTTGCATTAATACAACTCTAAATCCTCTGTGAGAGGTTATCTGTTCTAACAGAGGTTGGAAAAATCCTCTTTGTCTACCTATCACTTAAAGATGGATTTCTAGTTAAAATCCTATTTTTTCTCTCTCTTTTTTAAAAAATGGAATAAACATAGCCAGAGTTGGAACTAAAATTTTGATTTCCCTCATCTGTAGTACAAAATAGACTTTTGAGAAACATCTTTCAATATTAAAAAGAAGGACAATTTTCTCTGTGCTATTACTCTTCATTATATTAACAGGGATTAATGCATGAGATTGACTGAGGTTTTTTTAATTGTTTATTTCATTATTGTCCTGGAGTCTTTATCAGACCAAGTTATGAATTTAAGCTTTTTTTCTGGTAATTTGATTTGCATGTGAGCAAATCAACATTTCCCTACAACCAGAATTTTAAAAGTACATTGTTCACCTGAGGGGTGATCTTGAGACATGTTAAGTGCCTCAAACTTCTGTTAAGTGGAAGATGAGGGTATTCAGCACTTCACAAACTCACAGCTGAACCCCTGATGCCTAAAGGAAGTTGTAGTTTGGAACACTAAAGCAAACATGAAAATACTAAAGCTAATTGAAAAGATCTGTAAATACCATGTTGTTTGAAGAATAACTTCCTTTGAATTCATCCCAGAGAGAAAAGGCTTTTCTGTATGTGAGGAAGATTAATAACAAGCATTAACATATGCACATGTCCATGCACACAATAGAGATTTTTCAGCCAGACACTGAAGAGAGTTGCTGATGTGTGTAACACTGCTTGTATTGTTGGTGCTGTTCTTTTTATATGGTTGTTCACTTTGCGTTGGGATAGTATGTGTCTGAAGTAAATATGCCAATCTCCATCTCTCCCACACAAATGTATCAAAGTAAAGATTTGATCATTTAATATCTACACATAGTGCCCCAAAACAAGGCCTCAATGCCACTTGATTCCACATAACTGGCAATACAAAATCATCCAAAGTTGACTCCAGTGATCTGTGGCAGTGTTTCTCAACTTTTTAGTTAACTACCTAACTTCTAAAAATGTTAATAAGTACCCCAACATTCAATTTTCCAGGGAATTTTATATTTACAGGCTAGTGTGTGCCATATGTTGGGAGAACGGCTGTGTATACAAAGCCATGATATGACAGATGTCTGATCTGGTGTGGATAGGTTTGTCACATTTTATACCAGGGATGCACAACTCAAGTATGTACCTGGGCTACAGGTGATGTTGGCCAAAGCTAGGAGGGCTGAACACCAAATTATTACTGGGGAATTTAATTTTTTAAATTGCACAACATTTTTTGCCGTAGTTTTGAGAGGAAAAGAGGGCGAGCGAGAGAAAGGAAAAGCGGGCAAGAGAGAGTGTTGGGGTACCCGTGTACAGCCCCTGCCTGTGTCTCGTAAACCCCCAGGGGTACACGTACCACAGGTTGAGAAACTATGGTCTATGGATCAGTCAGAGTAATCATTTTGGAAAGAAGTAATACTTGATATAGTAGAACACAGAGTCATTATGGCAGGATTTCTAAAGCATTGCCCAAGTCCTGCTCCAGCAGATTTTGTTTGTTTGTTTTGCCTTTCTTTTAGAAGGGCAGTGGGAGGGATATGAACAATGTTATATGATGTTCACCCTGGAGGACTATCTGTAAGCCCTTTCAACAGTTTTCTTGAAGACCCAAAAATGATGTGTGCTCTGGATCAATCCTAATAGATCGCCTGAGACTTGAGAGGCCAACCAGAATAATGAATTGAACCCATGAGAGTGGGCTGGAGATGAATGGGAATCTGCCAAAGCATATTGGAGAATTTTATAAAACTGAATTGTGTGCTATTTCCTCCCCCTACTTCCAAAAAATGAATATGGGATATATTTGATGTTTAAAAAATTAAGGACAAAACAGGTTGCAGCTCCACTGTTCATTACAAAAAAAATACTTGAATGTCTTCCACATTGTTCCTAAGTCTATAGTCCAAGGTCCAATAGCAGAGAGTCATTGGCCAGGTACAAACATTACACTCTTATTGGTATAGGTGATTGGAAATTGATCTATACCTAGGGTGACCATATGTTCCAGTTTTGCCAGGACACTGGGAATACACAGCCTGGTCCCAGCCAATTGGTTAAAAGTCCTCGCCTGGCATCCAACAAGGAGGCAGAGCAGCATGGAGTGTCTGCTGCAGTCTGGAGGCAAGGGTGGTGCCTGCTGTAGTCTGTAACAAGGCGGGCAGACTGGAGAAGGTGCCACTCCACCCACAGAAGCAGCGGTGCCTGCCCGGCTGCCTGCCTGGTGCACCGTTCCTCTCTGCTTCCCTATTGCACTCCAGCCTGGGACCTTTGACCAACTGGCCAGAACTGGGCTGAGGAATCCTGGAGTGTCCTGGCCAAACCAGGACATATGGTCACCATATCTATATCTGTAAAAGAACCGAAGTTTGGCACACAAAACCGGTCTGTACCCATAACAGAACAGAAGTTGACACACACAGACTAGTTTAAAAATGATGGAACCCAGGCTAAGATTTGTGCACCCCACCAAAAGGTGAATGTGTTCACTACTGATCTAAATGATGCCACTTAAAGAAAACTGTGTCACTTACAGAAAACTCAATTCTGCCTCAGGCTTTTTGAATGTCTGTTTACTTGGCCCTTATGAACTTGTCCCATTGTCGTTTTTTGATTCTTTTGTACAGCAATGACCAAAAATAGCTTATTTTACATGTATATTATTTATTACCACCCCTTCCCTCAGTTAGCAAAAGCCCAAATATTTGTTTTCAGTAAAAGAAAAATGTTAGCTGTCCATAGGAGTAAGCAATTTGGTTAGTTCATATTAACAGCATCTACTTACCACCACTACTTAGCTGTGTTTCAGAAACAGCTGGATAGGTCAATGAAAGACAGGCAGCTGCAAATCAGTTTACTCCTGAAATGTCTCAAGGAAAATCTTGATGTTGCTAACAGAAGATATCAAGAGAAGTAGCTTTCATAATCTGTGATAACTTTGACAAGTGTTTGATCACAGCATGAGGCAAGTGCATTTTCAAACCTCATGGGGCAACATCATCCCACTGTGGTTTGAAAGATTTAAAAAAAAAAACCTTTATAAATATTTAAGCATGTTTGTAGGAAGCTCTGAAAATTAAGATTCATTCTCATTTGTTTCTTCCCAGCTCCTTGTGGCCAAAATGAAACCAGAGAGGATGGCAAAATAATTCAGCTGCCTCCCTGCAAGACAGGAGCATGGATCGTTCCTGCCATCATGGCGTGTTACCTCTTGGTTGCAAACATCCTCCTGGTGAACCTTCTTATTGCTGTCTTTAAGTGAGTAGCAGGCTTTTGGGTACTTGCAGTTTGGAGTCAGTTTCAGGGGAGGCACTTTGTGATAGTGAGAGTGGCAGAGTAGCTCATCTCCAGTAATGTGATAGCTATGTAACTGTAGTAATTCACTGTGTCTCAAGTACGGGGATCCAGGGAGGCTGACAGCAATGAAGACCTCTGGGTTCTAATTTCAGTTATGGTATGGGTTCACATTGTTGCCTTCGACATCCTACAGCTATTCCCCGCTTAATGTCGTAGTTACATTTTTGAAAAATGTGACTTCAAGCAAAACAATGTTAAGCGAATCCAATTACATCACAGTAGTTACGTACTAGCTGGGGGCAGCCAAACAACGTTATAACCGAACATTGCATGACTTTAAACAAGTATGTTCTGTAATAGATCAGCAACGTAACAACAAAACAATGTTAACCGGGATGACGTTAAGTGCAGAGTACCTGTACTTAATCCTTCATTGTCTCATTCTGCCAAAGTATAAATGGGGATACTATTTCCTGCGTTACAGAAACGTTATACAGTTTATTGTTAGTAAAGCATCATTATTTTGATGTTCTTGCAATAACAACAAACTTATCTTTTAAACTGCTGCTATGCTGTTATACTTTCATGAGGAGATAATAGCATTTTGTCTACTTTTTTAATGGTAGAACTTAGAAACCATATATGAAAACAGTCTAATGAGCATATTGTCTTTTCAAGGGGAAAGTACCCAAGTTGGTTTTAATATCACAGTATTTTCCTTTTCTATTTCTTTTAGCAACACATTTTTTGAGGTTAAATCTATATCTAACCAAGTCTGGAAGTTTCAGAGGTATCAGCTAATCATGACATTTCATGAAAGGCCAGTTCTTCCACCTCCTTTGATCATTTTCAGCCACATGACTATGATATTCCAACACCTCTGCTGTAGATGGCGAAAACATGAAAGTGACCAAGACGAGAGAGACTATGGACTAAGTAAGCTTTAAATATCTCTGACTTGTAGTTATAAACTGGGACTTTCACATTCCCATTCAATTTTACTAATACTTTGCACCTCCCATCTATTCATTCTCTTACAAGAGAATAGCAACAGGGCATATATTTGCCCAGCTGCCATGTTTTTTTCACAATAGTAGTCTATGTTTATAGCTGGACATCCTCCACTCTTCCCCTAAGCTTGGATGTCTCCTAAAGCATCTCCACATGCACAGTTTTAAATAATAATAAAATAATATGTTCAGTTTCCCTGTATACTGGAGGCAAAATATATGGGCACAAGGCCAGTGTCCTTACATGCTTTGATTTCTAACGTATCTAAACTGAAGATAAGAGGGAACATTTAGGCATTATGGCCACTGACAGACGTGGGGATAAAAATAGTGCTTTACTTTCAGCTCGGCACACCTCCACACCAAGAGCAGCACTTGCCCAGAAGAAGCACATCAGTTGAACCCAGCTCACCCAGCATCTGTATAGATGGTGCACTTCAGTAGGGATTTCTGGTGCTTTTATATAATAGATGATTCATCAACTATTAGATAAAAAAGCCAAAAAGCCCCACTAAAGCATGTGATCTGTACATATGCTGGGGAGCCGGGTCAAGTTCATATGGTTCCTCTTCCAGTAAAGCACCATTTTTTTTCCACATCTGTCAGCAGCCAATATGTTTGTTTCCTCCCTGGTAAATGTTCTAGCTAGGAGAGTGTGGTCTCCCATCCCATTAAGATGAATTCCCATTAGCATGAATTAAAAAGTTTCAGATACTTTTGAGATCCCTATTACACATCCTCTATATGCTATTCTTCCCCCTCTCTCTTCCTAATCTGAACAAATCCTTCTCCCCTTCCATTAACCCCTTTTACCAAACCTCAGCTCTACTTCAATATCTAACAGATTGGGCGGGGGGGGGGAACAGGCAGTAGGGGGTAGGCACTAGGAGAGAGGTAAGTGCTGGGGGTGACAAGCTGCAGGATGGAACAGGCTGCATTCACCTCTGCTTTATAATTTTCCATATCTAGAATCTAATTATTGGGGGGGTCATCTTAAATTCATGCATTTGGGTAAATATGGTATTTAGATTTCACGCAATCAGGGCTTCCCCAAATCAAAAGTGCCTCAGTTCAGCTTTTCTACCTAACTTGCTCCACTTCCCCTCACCTACAATATATGCAAGCATACTCTTCTTAGTTCCCCTTGGCTACAGATAACCATGAAACTTGATAGATTTGAAAATGACACAATTGCCCAGCAGAGACTTACAGAAATACTAAGAATTTAAGTAAACTTAAGTGGCCTTGTTTGATAGATGTTACACATAGGAATAATGTAGTCAAACTTCCCATGGAAAGTATTATTCAAATTTGATCCAATATTCATGCCAGTAGTTTGCTTATTTTAGCCAGTTTATCTAGCTCTAATTATGATTTTGTTAAAAGACAGAGCTATTTTTTCACAACATTCATCCAGATGTTAAAAGGTATAACACCAGTATTGTGTGCACAGTGTTTATTCCCTAATTGTTAATGTGTACAAAAGTACAATATGTTTGAGACTGCTAGTTTGGTAGCTAAATCTGCCTATCTGATTTAATACAAAAATAACTGTATGATAGTCTTGACACCTTGCCCCATAAGACCTACAGTAATAAGAGGTATTCAAGACCCATCAATGAGCCGTTGTAGAGATGGTTCATCCTCGAACTGAGGGATTGCCGATGATGAATAAAAAACAGGGTTTGGTTTGCTTTTATGAATTCATGTTTTATCAGTGTCTTTTCCCTTCTGTAATTTCTATAGAACTTTTCATAACGGAAGATGAATTGAAAAAAGTTCATGATTTTGAAGAGCAGTGCATAGAAGAATATTTTAGAGAAAAGGATGATAGATTTAATTCTTCCAATGATGAAAGAATCCGTGTCACTTCTGAAAGGTAGACTCTTTTTGTTTGTCCTATAGGATCTATATCTTGAAATACATTGCTGTATTTTCCATTGTTATTCTCTTACTTTCCCATTCTTGGTGAGGACAGCTTGTTTGAGACAACTTTTTAAATTATACTGCAACACATACAAAGTAGAGCTGACCAAAAAATGGTGAATTATTTTCATTAAAAATTTTTAAATGTAAAACATTTCAATCAGCCGTACCAGAAAGTAACATAAATTGTGAGATAAATTCATGTACTCTTTTGACATTACACCTTTTAAAATTATAACCTTAGAACATAAGTGGCCAAAATACAAAGGTGAGATACAATGTAGCTATTAAATTCATCAGTGCTTTAACACAGAAGTGAAACCCACTGAGACTGAGAAAGATCCTTGTGTGTCTAGGCTCCTAGAGTGGACTTTGCCAGTGATTTCAATAAGACCAACATTTCAGTCACAATATTTTCAGGTCTGTCTCGCTACTGAAGACAAGGGTAAACTACATTCAGCTCCACTTTGTGTTAAAACATGTGACGTAACCCAAGGTTCCTGTTTATCCATTGGCCCTAATAACAAAACTATCTGAACAACTAAATAAAATTTTGTGTGCAGAACATGGAGTAGATTCTGTTCCACTTATTAGGCATCCAAGTGGACTTAGGCACCTAAGTGCAATTCCATCCCAGTGCTTCTTTTCCAGGCCTGAAAATCCACTAATGCAGGGATGTCAGATTGGTTGGAGGCTGCATTCCCTCCTTTTCAAGTGCCTAAGGGCCACACCTTGGCTGTCACACAAGCAACCCTAGTGATATCATGGGCAGAAGCTGTATCACCAATGGTAGGGCTTCCCATGATGGTAGCCAGCACCTGACCCTGTGGGAAGCCAATGTGAGTGTGCTCATGTGTGTATATGTGTGTGTGTGTGTGTGTGTGTGTGTGGGACCATGTGCCACTGCGGCCAGACCCAGGGCTCTGACCATGGTGATGGGGCTTCCCACAGAGGCAGTCAGTGCCCTGGTGAGAGCTGGGCACTGGCAATCTGAGCAACACTGCGCAGTCCCATGATGGCAGCCTGCATTCTGGTGAGATCCGGGGCATTGGCAGCCCCAGTGGCATCACAAAAATGCTACCACTGTGGCCAGAGGAAGGGAAAGTCTGTGAGACAGATGACCTGAGTCATTGGGCCATATCTGACCCCCAGACCATATGTTTGACACCCCTACACTAACACATCTACTTTTGTAATGCATTGTCATTTTACCCTTAGGACTGAATTGCAACAAAGCAACAAGGTTTTGCAATTAACTGTTTCAGGGGCCCAAACAGGGTGAAATAGAATGGCACTTGGGCTTAAGGTATTGTTCTCAATCAATATTGCATGGCAACACCTGGTTAATCACAATAAACTAATATGAAAACTGTTTAATCCAG